AGATAAACATCAAATTTTCATTTTTGGATGAACTATCCCTTTAACGACTTTAATTAGAGAAAGAACTACTACACTCCAATGAAGCATGATTTAATGATTTAATCAAATTACAAATAATCTTTACTTCTGAAACTCGACTATTTTACTCTATAGATAAAATGTATCAGTGCATCTAATCTCTATAGATTACCTCAGGGATTTTAGGCTGGCCTGCATTGGCATAGTAGTTTGCGACAATACACGCTCTGAGCTTGTCCATCATTCTCCTGGCCTCATTCAGCCTCTGAAAAAAAACAAAAAACAGATAATTCAGATTTGTTAAGTTATGTAGTGTATTACAGCTTTAGGACTTTACTTTGTCTCAAGTATGTTTTAGGCAAGATACTTTGACTTTTAAATTAAATGTTGACACTGTACCCATAACTGAAATTAAATACAGACTCTTAGCACTTGTTACACCATGATTAAAGTACTTCTGGACTAACAAAGCACGGCTAGTCCTTAAATAAAGTGAGTATTGGACAGACGATTACCTGCCCGATGACCTCGATCTCATGCTCTTTATTTTTCATCTCCAGAGAAAACTGATCCTTGATGATCGCTTCAATCTTCTGCACAGCAGCTTCACAGGCTGGTAAAAATCAAACAAGCATATTAAAAAACAACTTGTGTAATACTTTACATCACTGTTAGGAACCTAATCTTACCATTCTGCTCCACCACTTTACTCCTCTTGTTCTCCTGCACTTGAGTGATGTCCTCATAGTCAGGATCTTTGTCCTCTATTTTCCTTTTCACCCCAGACATGATCACTCATTGGCTGGACTGTAGACACAGTACACAACATGCCCCATAAACAACAACAACAAACGTATACAGCCGCACACAAAGGCTGAGTCTCAAAACGTAGTTGGCTGCTTAAGTTACCTGCTTGCTTATAATGTTCTAAAAGTGCGTCCTAGGTAGGCAGCTTGCTAGATTTTGAAACACAGCCCTAGTATATGAGCATACAAGTGTTATTACATTTCCTTGACAAACTGCTATTAGTTGTTGCAGAGGTTTCAAAATAACTAAAAACTGAAAGAAGACGCTGCCAATCGGACATACAGACCACGCTAAACAAAACAACAGCTTTTTAAGCAGTTATTGTAAAACTCTCACCACTGACGCTTTTCTAAACTGCGCAAAACGTGACGTAAACACGCACAAAAGTGGTCGGTGTGATTATTTACACGTTGAACGTACGCCGAATTTGCTGGTGAGATGTTTAAAGGTGAGGTGTTTAGCCGTTAGCTTGGGTTGGTCTCGCGCACACGAAAGTCTCGCGAGGACACACGAACTCGTGCAG